GAAGGTATAAAAGCAGAAGTTGTTCAGGCCTCCATCTATTTTGACTTTGGCTAACTAAATGTTTAATAATAAAGTCTAATCCTTATGTTTTCTTAGTAAAACATGTCCCCCTTGCACACATTTAGTTAAAATAAAGCTTTTTATGTCCCTGATTGTAGAAGAATATTGACAGATCTAGCCCTTGCTGTGGGTTCCATAGTTATTCTGTTATTATATTTTACAAACTAAAGGTAGGCTGGTTGACATAAATATCTCTTTATCCCTTACTAGAGTCATAAGCAGCTCCAGTCTTCGCTCTGAACCATGGTGTTCATCGTCTCTTCAAAAGTCTGTTAAATTTTTAATTTTAAATTGTTCGTATATTACTAATATACACTCAATATACATCAATATATTAATAATAAAGATGGTACATGCATGGTATATGCATGCCCCCTTAGGAACCAGAATATGTGTCTTGGAGTATAGAAGTGCAAAAATGTGTCTGTGCATTCAGAACAGCAACAACTAACTGGTAACCCTTTTAAAAATGTTCTGGTTACACCTTTGCACAAAAGAGGTATTTGTGCAAAGCCAGGGGTTGATTTAAACATTTTTGGGCTGTATATAGTAAAACTAAAATGAGAATAATTACTGAAACTAAATATTTTGGTAGCTTTGTAAAGAAGAAAAATACAAAATCAAAAAAGACTGCAGTGATTTAAGACATTATTGTTGACCTTATTGTTTATGTTTGTTCATAGCACCTTTATGTAAAGTGCTCTATAAATATTAATTAGTATTTTGATTATTATTTTTAAAAGAACTTTTATTATTACCATCTCTATGGCTTAGAACCTCATCTTTCTTGAATAACAACTCTCATAATGCCTGTAGAGCACGTAGTCTTCTCATTTTAATGGCTGGAACCACCTTAACATTTATACAGCAATCTTTATGGATTGTTGCACAATGCCCACTCGCACTAAAACAATACTAATTTAGCGTTATTGCTAAATATATACTAAATATAGCGTTTATGTTATTCTGGATCTTTTAAGGTAAGCCCCTTATTATACCCATTCTTAGTGGGATCGATTTCTTCCTTGCCAGAATCTGCAATTTTCTATCATGTTACTGATTTTTAAAACATTTTTTTTATTGATGTTTTGAGCTATATAAAGGGATATTAAATATCAAATAATGTTCTTTCCAAATGTTCTTTCTGCCACTATATGAAGTCACAAGGTGTTTTCAGGACTTTACAAACCACCTATAGGGTTGTAAGGTATTTTTTCAAACCCAAAGACCAGTTTTCTTTATTATGATGCATTTTTGTAGTTTTTTTTTTTTTTTTACTGTTCATTGGGTGAACAATTTTTGTTACATGTGTAACCCTTAATTTGAAATTGTGTTCTGGATATCACATTCAATCTAGTTGCATTTTCCAATCCAAACAATGTAAGATTTCTCTTTTTCTAGCTTTTGATCTGGACAAGAGAGAAAATGGCTCAGTGGATGAGATGTGTCTTGATCTTTCTAAGCATGGTTTTCTTCTCAAATGCTCGTTCTGTTGATATATTCAAAGTCCAGAACCTGAGAGGTTCCCAGAGACATCTTCTGATGGAGACAGAGCCTACCACTTCAATCAATAAAACAAGTGAGTTACAAAATACTCATGTCATCCTTAAGTCATACTATATGTTTGAGGGCAGTGATGCAGTTTGGTGTTAGTTTGATACAGTTCAGTTTTATTGTTGGTCAACATTAGCAGACTCCACCATCGCGGGAACAGAATCCATACAATGGTCCTATCTGGCAGCAGGACTGGGCACAATCCTCACCCTCTCCCTCCTCGTTGTGATGGCGGTGAAGTTTCGGCTCTTCCACCGCTTCCTGGCCAGCTACAGGCACTCCCTGCTGCAGGAGACCGATGGGGCCAGCCAGTACGGTCAGGAGGACAACTCATACCCCAACGTGTCGGGTCAAATGTCAGTGGTGGGAGGCACAGGGAGGGGGATGGAGGACGACGATGATGGCTTCATTGAGGATAACTACATCCAAACCAACGAGAAAAGCAGGGCTGAGAGGGGAACCCGGGATGAGCTGGAGTTGGAAGACAGTGATGATGATGATGTGCAGTTCACCATTGGGTGATCATGAACAGATTTACAAAAAGAAAAAAAAAGTCTTGTTTACTAGTAAAATTACCTATTTTTCATGGCTTACTTCTTTTTATAAAGAATTTGATTTGACTCTAATATGTCTTTTTGATCCAAACACAAGTTGCGACATGGTATGAATGTTTTAACTTTGCTGTCTGAAACAAGCAGCTCATCAAAAAAGGATTCTGTGTAGTTATACCATAAAACAAAAAAACAGACAGAAAATTCCCCCAGACTGGGAAGGCTGGTTTGACTGTTTATATGGCAAACAGTCAACACGTCTTCTGGGTAAGGGATGTAAAATCTGGTTAAAAAGATCCTGAGCTTGCAGTTTTTGCATTCCTTATACGTACTTTGACCTCTGATCGTACTTTTTATTTTGAGCACCTAATGTTTCCCATTGTTTACTCTGTTGAAATGACTTTTATATGAAGATGTTTTCAACTTCACCTTGAAGAATGCAGTTTTCTATGACTGTTGTATCAAGAAAAAAAATTAGACACACACAAGGTGATTTTGTTTATATATTGTAAAAATAAACACATATTCTAACTGATCTCATGTATTGTCTGGCATATTTTGTTTATAAAATGTTTTATCTGAATGAGTATATTAATTCTATAAATCTGAATGCTTATGTTTTCAATGAGAACTCACTAAACGCAATTGATGTGGTGGTGTTTTGACTGGGAGATATATGGGGGATATTTCATTTATTCCGTTGGATTTTCCGTCAGGAAGTTATAGGAAATAATCTTCCCTTTCAGGTTCAGAGATGAATTCAATTTAAAATAAAATCTACCAAAACAACATATTCCATAATGTTTTAATTCAAGCAATTAAATTAAATTAAAATATTTTTTTTTTTTATTTTTTTTTTTTATTAAATTAATTTTTAATTAAATAAATAATTTTTAATTAAATAAAAGTGGAATATGGAGAAAGAATGAAGATCATTCAACAGGTTGTTGAATTCTGCATTTTATTTAAGTTCAGATTATCAACACACATTTTCTTATGTGCTGTTTTTAGACCAAAATACGGTCAAGTATGTATTGTACCTTTAAATAGCTGTTTTCTATAGGAATTTTTCTACTTATACATTATTGTAAATACTCTTACTCTATGCCTCTTAAGGTCAAACTACAGCATTTTATTCTAGTTGAGACATTGCAATGCTATGATTTTTCTCTTTTCCAGCTATCCTGCTGTAGATTCACAGCTCTGTTTGCAGAACCAGCTCTGCTGTTTACCAGTTTTTAAGCCAAGCTTCAGGTTTCTGACACCGTGCCCATATTTTGATTAAAAATACTTTGGTTAACAGAGAATTTCGTGGTTTACTTGCAGTGCTGCACTGTGCCCCTATAAGATGACAAAACTAGCCCAGATCAGTAGCCTTTCACAGCCGTCCCTACAGCCGGGACAAAGTGTTTATGTTTCATGGCTTTGTTTATTGTGAAACATCTTTATTCATCCATGACAAGCATGTCAAATTCAAAATATGTCATTTTGCATGAGGTTCCAAGTGAAGCTTGTCAAAAGCCTTTTCTGCATCTAATAAAACAATATGCTGATGAAGATTCTCAGTCATCCAGGTCATAGTCATTCCGTAATGTTAAAAAAATATCCACTGGATTTGGTTTCCAAGATTTGAAGACATTTCGCCACCTCTCCTAGCCTGACGTAGTTCTACTCAATTCTAGTCAGAATATGAGTCTGATACTGCTCCATAGAGCTGTGATTATGGGGCGTGTTTTGAACGAACCAGGACTGCACTCAATTGGACAGACGTACAACCAATAAGAGCAACGGAGTGCGTGACGTATCTTAAGCAACGCATAGTTGTTGTCAACAAAAATCAAAGCGTGCAGTTTCACGCCTAGAATAAAAAGATGAGCCTTGATCGCGTTTCTCTGTTCCTCTTTTAAAATTAAATTGCTGCCGATATCTTCTAGAACAGGCCTAATAGCAGAATCTGCTCACCTCAACTCTCCGGCGGCAGCCATTGTTGTTGTCACCCAAGCGCGCTTTGGTCACGTGGTTGATTACGTTACTGTTGATCATCTGTCCATCATAGTATAAAGCCCGCCCTGATAACTTGATTGGATCGCCTGACAGTGGGCGATAATACTCGCGCTACTATGGAGCAGAGCCAGACCGAACTTCCCGACCTCAAACCTTGTGGGCGGGACTAAGTTCGGAATGGCACCCAGGCTACACCTCTCCAGGAAGCTTTCTCAATTCAAATGGAACCAAACGACCCATTCATCGGTTACCATTTGCATGTTTCCAAGCGATACTGTACAAGGCTTTGTCTATATAAGACTCAAACTCACTGCGGATCCAGACATTTGAAGTGAGATTTAGTATTATAGTCTAATATTGCAACGACGGCAGTTATTGTGTCCATCATTACTGATCATCAAGGTGTAATGCAGGAAATCACTGCGACCCTTTGGGAAGGTGATAATTGAAGCACTGATATGGGAATGAAGGTTGGGATTCCATTTCTTGTGCCGCTTTAGTCCATTTGATTAAAGCACTTGGCTGCTACTTCTCCTCTCAAACCTGGTTAAACCAACTAAGCTGTACCTTCAGACAAAGGTTGCGTTCAGTTTGTTGAATAATTGTTGCATGAAATCTGTTTTGGGTTATTCAACATTTGAGGTTTGATTTCTGTCATTCTAAAATCTTTACAAACAGTTTTCTTGTTTATGGCATCAAGATTAAAATCCCTGTCTTTGAAACAGGTTGTACAACCTTACATCTAAAAATACCCACATTTATAGAAACTAGGCCTCCAGGGGGGCCAAAGGGGGGTGATTTCCTCTATATTGAGTTACTTCTTAACTGCTGTCAGTATTCTGTTATTTTGCATAAGGAATCAATGAGACTTTTAATGTGATTCTCCCCTTTATTAATTTCCCTGCAGCTAAATAAAATTTTACAATTTTATCAAGACAGTTTTCTTCTTCTCTGGGCAGTTTTCTTTTTCTCATTCAGACCTTTCAGATCAGACTTGTCCTGCTGGTGGAAGTGTCCCTCCTGATTTGACTCATCTGCCGAGGAGAAACGCTGAACACTCGGACAGCCTGGCCCCCCAGCCTCCTCGCTCTACTGATTCTCAGCCTCCTCCTCATCCTCTGCTCCCTTCTCCTCTTCAGATACGTCATCACGCTGTACCCCACTACTGCCAGACCCATGCCTCCACCAGCAGCCATGAGTGCTGCCCCAGACACCAACATCTCTCTGCTGTCGTGACTGTGGCTCCCTGCTGTGGCCACACAGAGCAGCACGGTCCCACACAGAATCACTGACAGCCCCACGGCAAAGATCAGTGGTGGGTCGGCCCTCCCTCCGCTCCGCAGCTGTTCGATCTGACGTCGGCTGTGGACACAGTTCATGTCCTGGATGGCGGAGCTCAGGAGCTGCTTGAGTAAAAGAGCAAGGGCTAGAAGGCAGAGTGTGGTTCCCACCCCAAGACGCCACTCCACAGACAGGCTGTTGGTGGTGGAAAGAAGCCCCACTCCACCAAGGCCGAGTCCCATTATGAGGGCCACTGAGGCACAGTAGCAGATCAGGGACTTTCTTGGCTCCCGGAACCACCAGAATTGCACTTGGTCCTCCAGGATATGCTGCTGTGTTTCAAAGGGATCCAGGTAGAGGCTTGGAGGCCGACGCATGCTGTAGTAGAGGGTCTGCATCTCAGGCATTGCATCCCAGTCAGTCAGATACTAAATCAATACAATACAAAGCTTAAAGAACTGGGAAAATTCAATTCATGAAAATAAAATTTCAATCAACATACTTACAGCTGCATGAGAATCATGTATCTCCCTTCCCTCTGCATCTGTATTTAGAACTGAACAGTTTAGAAAACTCCTCGGCTGCTATGTTTTGGTTCATTCCTTACATGAGATTATTCTCATCTGAAGTTAGAATAATTCTCCCTAAAAGAATAACTTCCTGCAGTCCTGTAGCCTTTCTCTCCTTGAACCAAAGCTCCAGGTTCAAGGAGACCAAGCTGGATGTTAAGAATCCTGATCCGGGATGAAGGCAGAAGAGGATCCAGCAGAGCAGAGGCACAGACTAACAACATGAATCTGCTTCTATGTAAAGAAGTAGCAGCGATATTTACGTAATCCCAGTAACTGTCTGCCCTTGAAGGTTTCCATCATCGCTCTGACTTTACTGATGTCACAGATCAATACTCTTGGCTTTAAAGTCTCCTCCCCAGTGCCAGGCGGACCCTAACCCGCCCTCTCAGACCTTCACACAGCAGCCCCATCTTGTCTGGTTGAGTGGGAAAAAGACAGGTCACAACAGCACTGTTGGATCATGTTTGGACCCAGAGATTGGTGACATTGTCCATTTTGCTCCACCAGATGCAATGTGCTGAGTATAACACAAAGACTGCACTACAGAAGGCAGGCGGGGGGGGGTGAGGCCATGGAGGGGTCCTGGGTTAGTGCTGCAGGAGGACTGGGTGATGTCAGTGAGAAGTAATAATGGTGTGACTGTGATCCTAAGGATGCCGTCATTCACACACTCAGCTGGACTCACAAACAGCGCAAGTTGTGGTGGTAACCTCTGCGCCAGTACAAATAGCATTTCTTTTTTAAAATAACACTTTTTCCCTGTTCAGATGATTGTAGATGGAGACTCTAAGAGTATTAAAACATTTAGACTTTTAAAGTTTTGTTCTCCATAGAGTAACACAAACATAATCATCTTATCTAATTTATCAGTTTCGCTTTTCTTGTCAATTAACTGAAGTCCTATTTCAGAATCAGATCAGAAATACTTTAATGATCCCAGAGGAAAATTACTTTTGTTACACGCTCCAGTTACAGTTTTATATTTTTCTGTACAAATATAATAGGCTTGAAAGAAATATTCTGCCCACTTTCATTATGTTTCACCAAAATCCGACTATTGTCAGACTTTAAATAATTTAACTCTAATAGGACATAATAAATTATTCCTCTTTTAGAACTGTTCATACGATACAACTGCAAGTTGCTACTGGCAGAGATCTGATCTTGTCTTGTTGCATTTTGGCTCTTTTGTTCATTTTTATGATTCTCTTTTTGGCTGCTTTCTGCAAATGAAGTTGATTTGACACATACATTTAAAAAAGGAATCAAACTGACTCCAGGTCAGATGAGAGATTGAAATATGTACTGATATTTCAACTAACAGAATGCATCACTGCTAATTGTTCAAAAGTGTTCCTTGTTGCCACATTTTGGGCTTGTTGTGAGGAAATGATGGATAAACTTAAGCAGAATGGGATTAATTAGTGAAATCTCATATGTAGTACTGACTTCAGACCCTTGCAGTTCATCAAGATTTTGTTGATAATAAGCAACCTGCAGGGGGCAGCAGTCTCCAAGTTTGCACAGCTGCACAGTTTGCTCTAAACAGCAGATAACATAAAACACCAGCAATGTTGGATACTGCACAGTGTAATATTTTCACAATGGAGACGAATGTTCATGCATTCATGTAAACCAGGGGTCACCAACATGGTGCCCGCGGGCACCAAGGGGCCCTCAAGGACAACAAGGGGTGCCCTTAGAGTCTTCTGAAAATAGAACAACTCAACAGTGAGCTACGTTTTAAATGTCATTGTATTCTGTCACTCTTCTTTTTTTAATCAGTTATAGAACATTTCATTATTTATTTATATATGGCATTTAAGCATTTATATTTCAAAATGAAAATGTCTAAAAGAAAATTAAAAATTTAAAGAAACGATAAAGGTATGTATATAATGTATGAAGTTTAGGTGAACGTTGACCCTTGTAATTCATAGGTCAGTATTGGTAGCCCTTCCTGTGACTCAGTGCCCCTGAATTAGCACTCAACTATAAAAAGGTTGGTGACCGCTGATGTAAACTGTGCAATTGTTGAATGAAAAATAAATTAAAAAAAACAGCAGATAACATAATGCAAATGGTTTTTAAGCTCCAAACTGTTGGAGGATCCACATACAGACGCAAAATGGGGAAAACAACAGTTATTATAATCAGTATGCTAAACAGCTTGAATTAGTCAGCATGCTGCCTCAGACTTTTATAATAAAAAGAAAAAATAGCAACAAGAGAAACAGAACATGACACAAATATTAATAAAAACACCACAATAGTCAATTAGGTGCATATGGTTTAAAAAAATATATGTTGTAAAAAAAAAAATCAGCAGCACAAGGAAGTCAGGCAGTTAGGATGTCTTGGGTTTTACTGTTTTTCTGGTGTAAGTGAGCTTCCTGTAACAGAGAGGATCTTTGCTGGTGGCTGGGCTGACCCGTTTTGTCAATCAAGATGACTAGTGTGTATATAAGGATGTCAGGGATAATCTCTCTTCTCCAGAGGATTACCTCTGAGGGTATTCCATCCAATAATAATAATGGACCTTTTTTCTCACATTGGAGAGATTTCCCTCTGTATTCAACCAACCCCTTGTGGAGCAGTGGACTGCCATTGTGGGGTACCTGGGCAGCAATGTGGGGTTAAGGGTCTTTGCGAGCCAGAGTGGCAGTCTGTGGGAGTGGGGCTCGAACTCAGAACCTCAGAATTCCAAGCTCTATACCCTAATCACCAGGCCGCCACTCCCCTAAAGACCCAACGACCTAAACCAGGAATATCTTTCTTGTTGAAATTCGTGTTCCTGTGAATCTCTTTTAATGTGAACTCCGTTATTGTTCCAAGCAAACAGTGAACCTCAGTTCATCTCCGATCTTCATGGAAAAGTTCTTACCTGTATGCAGCTGTTCTCAGTCTTCATCACCTACCTGCCCACTCTCTATTATGATGTATCCTCCAAGTAGAGCATGGAGAGAAAAATCAGCTGTGCTGCTGCCATTAACACCTTTGTTTAAAGATAGATAGATAGATAGAGATCAGCCTGTTTTCCAGTGTTTAGTCCTGTTTCCCTGACTGTGACTAGCTGGATGTGCTCTCTTCACCCTCTGACATGGGAGCTGGCTCGGAGCTCGTCTGCCTGGCTGTGTGTTTCCTGGACAGCTTGTTGACAGTTGCCTTTTGTATCTCTGCTTCTGTCTCCTTGAACCCCAGTCAGCCTCGGCAGATGGCCGCTCACACTGAGCCTGGTTCTGTTGGAGGTTTCTTCCTGTTAGAAGGATGTTTTCCTCTCCACTGTCGCTACAAGCATGCTTAGTGTGACTGCTTTCTAGTTAATCAGTCAATGCAATCAACTGGTTTTCCTTAGATAGATAACTTTGAATCAATTTGACTGGATGATCTGGTGAACTGTAAAGTGCCTTGATGATGACATGTGTTGTGAATTGGCGCTGTATAAATAAACTGAATTTAACTGAATTTAATTGAAGGTACCAACACCTTTAGATCTCACTCACATTCTCCATGACCTCCGGGTTTCAGTCTGCAAAGCCCACTGAATCAAACTCCTACAGATCCATGCTACTTCCCCTTCACCCCTCAAGGAAGCAAATCAGTCAGTCATCTGTTGTCATAAACCAGCTCCTTCCTGATCAGTCCACGTTCTCCCCTCAGACCAACCAGAATGTTTAACTGACTTCCTGCAGTTTTCCGCTTTCTTGTTGCTTTTTTAAAATAAAATGTTAAAACTCTCTGTGGGATTCCACGCGTGGGTCAAAATAGTACGAACCAACATGACACTTCACTGGAAAAAACGATCTAGAAATAAGTAAAAATGTCTTAAATTAAGTGTATTTACCCTTAATTTGAGTAGGTAAATGAGATGGAATGAGTATTTTTACTCTTAAAATAAGATAATTAGATAATATGCATGTGAAATAAGACAATGCAATTGTGTTTTCTTATTTTAAGTGTAAATTGTCTCGTTCCATTGGCAAAATGTCTCTTTTATCTCCTCAATCCAAGAACAAATGCAGTTTTTTAAGAAAAAAATGACTCATCTAGATTTTGATTTTTTCCAGTGTGCTTCTTCATCAGTTTGCTCACGTTGTTTGAATCTCTGATATTCAACAAATGCCTGCATTTTTTACTGCAGTATCATGCAACAAATATACATTTAGTTAAATTAGAACATTTGTAAATCACAAAAAAAAATAAAGCTTGTTTACTGTAAAAGTTAAAATCCAACTATGATGTAATACAGAAGAAAACACACTCCTACTGCTCAAATTCATTTATTTTGGTCTGTTTAAGAAGCACCTCCATCACAATCCATCTATCCTAACATGTTCACTGCACATATACCACAACTGTAGAGTGATCTGAGTATTTTGTTAAATCTAAGAGTCTGGATTGTGCTAAAGGCCTGAAATTAAATTTATGAAGAGAAGCTGCTTGGATTCATAACCCCTCATTTGCACTAATAATAGGCCCTTATCCGGCACTCAATGGTCCAGCTGACTGTGGTTAGCGCCCTTTATTTCCTGGAGTTTCTCTCCCCATGGTGTTGGCTGAACTGTGGAAAACTGTTAATCACTGGAGAAAATAAAGAACATAACCATTTCAGTGCTCCATTCTTTGTCTAGGTAGCAAAGATTCACCACAGCAAGTGGAAAATAAATCTTTTTTAAATCCATCCCAAGGGTAAACTGCAGTGGGGTCTAAGATCCTCACTTTCTATGGTTGCTTTAGGGCCTTCTTAAATTGAGATCCCCAGGAAACAGGAATGGGGCATGTTTTTTTTGTTTGTTTTTTTAATCAAGAAATTCCTTTCAGATTCATCATCAAGGGACTAAGCTTTAAATTTGCACTGCTGTGGTCAGAACCTTCAGAAGCCTTTACACTTAATAAGTTATCTGTATGTGCCAGAACACCATTAAAACTAATGTCATGTTGGAAATATGTTGCCATTACAAAAACCAAACAGCTGTAGGGATTACTGGGATCATAAAACATATACTTTGAGTATTTTATGACACTATCACACTATTTTCTCTCATGTATAACAGTTTGTTATACATTAGACATGTATTTTGTACTTTTTTCTCCTCTATTTCTCTCTTTTAAGGGATATAAAGTCATTCAGTCACTGAATAAAACCAACAAATCTTTAGGATGGGGATTAAAAGCCAACAGAAATGCCTTAAAAAAAGGAATAATCCTTTTTTAAACAGAGTCAAGTCAGATCAACAGATCACTTAATTAGAAGGGGAGATTTCTTAATTGGTGACAGCAGCAATGGTTTTGCATGTGGATGTGAAAAATATTTTTTCTTC